GTAATCCCAGCACTTTGAGAGGCCACGGCGGGTGAATCACTTGAGCTCAGGAGCTCAAGACCAGCCTGGGCAACAAAGCAAGACCCCTGTCTCTACAGAAATTAGCCGCGCCTGGTGGATCGTGCCTGTGGTCCCAGCCACACAGGAGGATGAGGTGGGAGGATGGCTTGAGCCTGGGAGACACAGGCTGCAGTGAGCCAAGATCGTGACACTGCCCTCTAGCCTGCATAACAAAACCAGACTGTCTTAAAAAAAAAAAAAAAAAAAGACTTAAGCAACTTTGCTCCTCCCTTTAAAAACCTCCAGCAGTTCCTCATCTTCTAATTTACTGACAAAAAGGCCGAACTACTAATATTTACATGGCCAGGCGCGGTGGTTCATGCCTGTAATCCCAGCGCTTTGGAAGGCCGAGGTGGGCAGATCAACTGGGGTCAGTTCAAGACCAGACTGGCCAACATGGTGAAACCCACCTCTATTAATAATACAAAAATTAGCTGGGCGTGGTGGCACAAGCCTGTAAGCTCAGCTACTCAGAAGGCTGAGGCAGGAGAACTGCATGAAGCCAGGAGGCAGAGGTTGCAGGGAGCAGAGATCATGCCACTGTATTCCAGCCTGGGTGACAGAGACTCCATCTCAGAAAAAAAAAAAATTACAATGGCATGCAAGTCCATCCAAGATCTGAACTCAGTTACCTTCCCAGCTCTCTCCATCAAATTGCTTTCTATTTTCCATTCTGCAAACACACATGCTTTGCCTTTTCATGGCTTTCATGGCTCTTGGCCTTCCCCCACCCTGGAATGGCATCTGCTCCCTCAGTCCTCCACACTGTATTGCAGTTGTCACTGGGTCCTTAACTCCTCTTTTGGACTCTAAGCAAAAGTGAATATACTATTCATTTATAGTTGTAATCTAATACAAAACTATCCATACTGAGGAGTCAATAATGTTTGAAAGTTAGATGGTAAAATGCTAACTTACATTTACCCATATCTTCATCTATTTTACTTTTACTGTCATAAAAAATTAAGAATAGTTGACATAATCGATTCAGTTACCGGTCTATTACCACCCTGACAAGGATGGAGTAAGAAATAGGGCTTGTCATTTCCAATCCAAGCTATTTGCAATGGAAAAATAAATCCATGCTTGCAAGATTCGTATTTATTCCACAGTGGAAGAGAAAATGTAATGTTCTTTCCTTTTTTTTTTTTTTTGAGACAGAGTCTCACTCTGTTGCCCAGGCTGGAGTGCAGTGGCTCAATCTCAGCTCACTGCAAGCTCCGCCTCCCAGGTTCACACTATTCTCCTGCCTCAGCCTCCTGGGTAGCTGGGACTATAGGCGCCCGCCACCACACCCAGCTAATTTTTTGTATTTTTAGTAGAGATGGGGTTTCGCCGTGTTAGCCAGGGTGGTCTCGATTTCCTGACCTTGTGATCCGCCTGCCTCGACCTCCCAAAGTGCTGGGATTACAGGTGTGAGCCACTGCACCCTGCCGAAAATGTAATGTTATTTCTAATTCCTGTGAGATACTGGTACAAAACCATAGAACAGTGATTAAAAGTCCTTGCAAGACTGACAAACCACCAAGTGTTCCACTAGAAAAATCCACACATTAAAACAAAGGTGCCAGGCGCGGTGGCTCACACCTATAATCCCAACACTTTGGGAGGCCAAGGCAGGCAGGTCACCTGAGGTCGGCAGTTCAAGACCAGCATGGAGAAACCCCATCTCTACTAGAAATACAAAATTAGCTGCGCGTGGTGGCGCATGCCTGTGATCCCAGCTACTTGGGAGGCTGAGGTGGAGAATTACTTGAACCCTCGAGGCGGAGGTTGCAGTGAGCAGAGATCGCACCATTGCATTCCAGCCTGAGCAACGAGAGTGAAACTCCATTTAAAAAAGAAAAACCCTCAAGCCTGTAATCCCAGCACTTTGGGAGCTCCAAACGAGTGGATCACGAGGTCAGGAGATTGAGATCATCCTGGCTGACACGGTGAAACCCCGTCCCTACTAAAAAATTTTTTGTATTTTTAGTGGTAGCCGGGCGAGGTGGCGGGCGCCTGTAGTACCAGCTACTCGGGAGGCTGAGGCAGGAGAATGGCATAAACCCGGGAGGCGGAGCTTGCAGTGAGCTGAGATCCGGCCACTGCACTCCAGCCTGGGCCACGAGCGAGACTCCGTCTCAAAAAAAATAATAAAATAAAATAAAATAAAATAAACAAACAAACCAAAAAAAAAAAAAAAACAACAACAAAAAAATAAAGGCAGCATTGCTTGGCTCACTCCACATTCCATAATTCTTCTGACTGCTTTTACATCCTTCCCTTTCTTTTTTCAGTTAGTGTCTCATATACTAAGTCTCCAATGATCCATGCAGAAAGGTAGCTTTTAATTGCTACGCAGCTATTTCTCCTTTTTAGTACCTGGATATTGCTTTGAGAACTTAATTTAGGAAGTGAGTGAACCACACCTATCAATGTAGCTTTATTCTCTAAGGTGACTAACACCTAGGCCCCAAGTTTTAAGTTTCCCCAGGATTCCTACCACTCAAGACACATGCTAAATAATCTGTTAGGTTTAGACCACTGAATCTTAAATCTGAGACATCATATTTCATCGAATCCAGCTCCCTTTATACATATGAAACTGAGTCTGGAAAAGTTAATTGTCTAGTTTACAAGGTAACTAGAATCCAGAGCTTCCTGACTCTCCAAACAATGCTAAATGTACTACACGTTATAGTGTTTTAATCTTTTTTTTTTTCAGACAGAATTTCACTTTGTTGCCCAGGATGGAGTGCAGTGGTATGATCTCGGCTCACTGCAACCTCTGCCCCCCAGATTCAAGCGATTCTTTTTTGTTTTTAGACGGAATTTTGCTCTTGTCACCCAGGTTGGAGTACAATGGTGCCATCTTCGCTCACTGCAACCTCTGCCTCCCGGCTTCAAGTGATTCTCCGGCCTCAGCCTCCCTCAGTCCTGCAACAGAGCAGGACTCCAGCTCAAAAACAGAAACAAAAAGTTCATTTTTAGTCTTATTCTCTGCTACAATATACTTTACTGAAAAATAAGTTCCAAGAATAAAAATTTAAAGTGGAATGTAGCTATATGAGTTGTACAGAAACCATCTGATTTTTATAAAGTGGTAATATATCATCACTACAGCAAACTCTAAATTCAAGCCAGTGATCTAAAAGTCAAATGATCCAAAACCCACTAGCCATTACCAATTCCCCAAGCTAGTTAGTACACAGAGGGCTACTCATTGTGCAATGACCACGAATATGTCATTGAATGTGAAATGATCAAATGTTCTGGAGAATTTATAAAACTTTCACTAGTTTGCACGATTAAAGTTATTTTGAGAGAAAACAACTTCCGTGTGTATTATTACATTGAACTACTCAATTTCGGCTAGTAAAGTATGTACTCCAAAAGGTACCACCTCAGGGGAAAGTGTCATAAATATGCTGTTCTGGAACGTACGTGGAACCTAGCAACCACTTTTAAAGTTTCATTTGCTGATGTCCCTCCCTGTCCGTTCGCCCTAAAAGACTAAGTACCTTTAAGAATCCAACTAACGGGCTTTTCATCAGGTTTTCCCACTGACAAAAATCATGTGATTGGTCTCTCCACTATTTGACTAAGTGAATCACCCAATTAAAACAAAACAAAACAAAACAAAACAAAACAAAAAAAACCCGCACACTACAATCTTGTTCTAAGACAAGAGACATTTAACAATTAATCATGCGAAAAGCACAGAAGGTACTGTTAGGCCTTACTCTGAGAATTCACTCTTGCACATTGCTTACAATGTAAAATTTTAACCACCTAGAAGTTACTAGAACATAGTGGACATCCCTCCTCAAGAGTTTGACAAGCCGGAGGGGATGATGAGCTTAACATTTTACTTCCTCTCTGCCACATCAATCTGCCTGGGGATCAAGTCCTATTCGAGTTTATGGTTCCCAAGAATGGCTGGAAAGGCTATATACGGAACCTCTTGACAGATTTCTTCCACTAAGGGTAAAAATCGGCGGGTCCTGATGTGACAAGCCACGGGAAACAGGAAAAGAAAAGAGTCAGTAAAAAAAAAAATAATACAAGGCAATCCCAGAATGGGATCCTTTGGAAGAAAGCGGGCCCATTCTTCCACCCTGGCTCCTGGAAATCCCAGAAGCTAAATCAGGTAAAATGCCCCAGTAACCTCTGGGAGGCGGGACATGACTGCTAAACCAAGGTTGCAGGCTCGTCAGGGGTGTGACCAAGCAGGTAGTGGCAAACTTGGGGTACCCCCAAGGAGGGAACCCCGCTTGAGTCACCACGGCCCAGTATGAGTGGGTGAGGGTAAGTCTGGTCCAGTCACCCTGGAGACCACAGCCCGTGCCGGGCTCCCGGGACCGGGCAGAAGCGGCAGGGGTGGGGCTGGCCCGGCTCACCTTTGAAGAAGCGCAGTGCCAGGCCGTACAACTCCTCCAGGCCGAAGCCCCAGCGCTGCTCCAGCCGCCGCGCCTCCTCCGCCGCGCCCCCAGCCGCCGCCTCCCCGGGCTCGGGCTGCTCCCCTGAGGCGCCCGGGCCGCGACCAGATCCGGGTGGCGAGGGCGGTGGCAGCGGTGGCGGCAGTAGCGGGGCGCCTTCCGCGCCGGGCCGCTCCTCCGGGTCCGGGCTGAGCGTGAGGCCGTCGACGGATACCTCGAGTCGCTCTGCGTTCAGCACCGCCGCCATCTCTGGCTGCTGCGCCTCCTCGGCGGGGACAGGCGGAGGCCACGTATCGACTTCCTGCTGACCTCTGACCTCCGCTTACCGATACCGGAACTTCCGCTGCTGAAGAGGCTGGAGGGCTCCGGGAGAGGGGCTGAGGCTTGGTGCCCCGCCCCCTCTGGAACCATCAGTTGCCCCAGCTCCGCGACTATCTTTCAGGCTCTCCAACTCCCATTGGTCCCGACCTCCACTCCACCCCCCCCCATCCTTTCGGATCCCAGTTGCTCCAGGTGGGCGGGTGCTACCACCCCCACCCCTCGGTTCGGTGCTGCGGCTGTCAGTGCCCAACAGGGGCGGGGTCAGTGGATCCCCGCGCGGGGGTCGGAGCAGGGAGGATTGACGAGGTTGGCCAGCACCCAACCCTCCAGGTCAGAGACCCTTCACATTTGCAGGGGTTTGCGTGGTTTGCAGAGCTCTTTTGCCCACCACAATCTCGTTTGGCCTTCACAGCAACTCCAAGGAAATGCAGGGCAAATTCCCAATTTTTTAAAAAGGGGAAACTGAGACTGCAGAGAAATTCAGTGACTTTGAGGTTGCAAACGGGGCTGATCCTGGTTTTGCAGGAAGCGCAGCTCATACAATTTGTGGGGACCCTCATTAGGAAAGAGTACAAAAAGTTACCATAGAGTTAATGAAGCTCAAGCTTCAGGGCCCCTTGCTTACAGTGGCCCCTCCCAAGGCCCTTAGAGTGGCCTTAGCAGTATACGCTTCTGTAAGTTTTGAGAGTAGGATATTCAAGACCTCTCTCTTCGTTTCTAACTTCCCTTCATCATCCTCCTCTGGTTAGGAGGTACTGAAATGGCTTATTCACCCCTTCAGTTATTCTCTAAAGCCCTAGAGAGTTTTTTCAGGACAAGATTTGTATGCCACATTCAGACAGGATCTGATCCATTAAGGTGAAATTAGGAGGTACTGAAATGACCCAGCGGTGGGGTTGGTAGCACCCGCCCACCTGGAGCAACTGGGATCGGAAAGGATGCGGGGGGAGGGGAGTTCGGGACCAGTGGGAGTTGGGGAGCCTGAAATGTGCAGAAGGGTAGGAAAGTGAATGTATATTTAGAAAGAGAAAGAAATAACAAATGACATTTTAAAAGTTAACGAAACCCACAAACTGCACACATAACTGTAATATTTTCATTGACTGCCTGATATTCTTCTACAGGGCTTCTGAGAGCCGGGAAACCAATTTTTTTCTAAAAGATTGAAGTCTCCCCCGACATTATGTATATTCACCTGTGTTTCCAGACTTTGGGAGCACCATTTATGATCATTTTTCCCACCTTTGTTTTGGCTGTGTACTTTTGATTGCCTTTTCCTATAACAATTATTTTGTAACCTTTTTTTTTTTTTTTTTGGAAATAGTCTTGCTGTGCCACTCAGGCTGGAGTGCAGTGGCACAATCTCGGTTCACTGCAACCTCTGCTCCTGGGTTCAAGCAACTCTCCTGCCTTAGCCTCCTGAGTAGCTGGGATTACAGGTGCCCGCCACCACGCCCGGCTAATTTTTGTAAATTTAGTAAAGTCAGGGTTTCCCCATGTTGGCCAGGCTGGTTTCGAACTGCTGACCTCATGTGATCTGCCCACCTCAGCCTCCCAAAGTGCTGGGATTACAGGTGAGAGCCACCGTGCCCGGCCTATTTTGTAATTTTCTGTAAAGAAGAGAGAAAGATCAGTCTTTTCTCCAGTATGGCTGATTAAATTAGTTTCTTAATAATTGTTTATAAGTTTATTTCAGCATCACAACTCATTACTGATATTGTTATGTACTTTTTTAGGGCTATTGTTCAGTTTGGGAAACCTCTCTCAAGTTTCATAGATGTGCTATGAGATTTTATGGCTGTTTGGCTGCTTCAGTGACAATTTTGTGTGTGGTTTTTACTGAAGCCCTAGAGAGTTTTTTCAGGACAAGATTTGTAGGCTACATTCAGACAGGATCTGATCCATTATGGTGAATAAGACATATAACTTCGCATACAGACAGACTTACTGTAGTACAACTATAAGTTTATGTCCTATAAACATAGGGATTCTAATCTATTCCCTTTTGCATGATTCACATAAAAACAGAAGTATGGTGCAGTTATAATTGCAGATATGACTTAGATGCTCAGTGAGTGAGAAACTTCATTTTGATTAGGCTTTGAGAAAATTGATCCCTCTCCTTACAATTTTTCACTTCTGATGGTTGGAAGCATTTTTTTTAAGTCTTCTAATTTTAGTTACTCAAAAAACCTTCATTTTTTGTTTAGCTTTCTGACCCTGTGCTTGAGCCTTCAACACTCTCACAATGATTTTCTTTTCCTCGATAAGGAAAACGTGCTTGATCCGGTCACGAACACATATAACACATATGGAACCACCATAGGCCCTGCTGACGGTTTTTCTTGTTTTGGACAATCTCATAAGAACTTTGGGTCTTACAGCACGAACCCCTTGAAGTCTGCTTGGGTACACACCACAGTAGATTTTGGTGCTTTCCCAGCCTTCTTGGTATAAAGGTAAGCAATTCTATTACCAGGGGTTCAGGGCAGCCTAGTTTTGTTAGAAGCTGTATTGTAGGAAAGCCTACAACAGTATGTCAAATGCTGGACCATTCTGTGTGCCTATAGGCAATGTCCCCAGAGGAGGAAAAGCAATGGAAGAATTTTACTAGCTCTTTCTTTTCTTTCAAACCTTGTTTCTCCTCCACTACCCAAGTACTTCCTGTGTCAGGCAACATAGGACTCCTTCCCACTCTGGCCTTGCACTTTTGTGACATGGTGCTGGCTAAATTGACATAATGGGCAGTAGGTATATTCCGAAAAGCCATTCCTACACCCACGGTGAACAAAAATTTAACAACATGCAGAAGTGACTGCAAACCACTTAAATGCATGCCACTAACTCCAAATTAAATGTATCCCTATTCATTGTCTCCTTAGCCAAATCCCCCACAAAGCCTATAGCCATTTCATTAGCTCCTAACCAGAGGAGGATGATGAAAGGAAGTTAGAAATGAAGACAGAGGTCTTGAATATCCTACTCTCAAAACTTATAGAAGCGTATACTGCTAAGTCCACTCTAAGGGCCTTGGGAGGGGCCTGTGTAAGCAAGGGGCCCTGAAGCTTGAGCTTCATTAACTTTATGGTAAACCCACTTCTAGCTGTAGGGGACTAAAAACTAATTCTACTGCTCTAAGGTCTGTGTTCTTCCCACTTAGCTTGGATCTTTATATTTAGCTTTCATTAGCTTAAAAATATGCATATTATGTGCCTAACCTTCAAAATGTTATAAATATATTCCCTTGTGTTTAGCTCAGTGTCCTACCTTTAACATTCAGTAACCGTTGGGATGATAATGAGTAGGGTAAATACAGCCCTTCTTCATGAAATGATAGATTCTGTTTTCCAAGTTTTCACAATAAGCATTTCTTTTGTAATCAGAAAAAAAAAGGTTATTTAAAAAAGTATACAATAATTATTAAAACCTATAGAATACACCTAGGAAGGTAGGTAAAATATGCTAATTAATTAATTAATTACGTGGACTTTTTATACAAAAATTAGCCGGGTGTGGTGGTAGGCACCTGTAATCCCAGCTACTCAGGAGGCTGAGCAGGAGAATTGCTTGAACCTGAGAGGTGGAGGTTGCAGTGAGCCGAGATCGCACCACTGCGCTGCAGCCTGGGTGATGGAGTGAGACCCTGTCTCAAAAAAAGACATACATTAAAAAAATTATATGGACTTTTTTATTGTTTTGTAACTTAACATATTGAATATGCTTGGAAAACCCAAACATCCTCCAGACCGAGCATCTGAACCTCTTGCTTATAGAACCTTCAAGGGCCATTGTGTAGGTGGTTGCCCTTAATGACTAAAAACATTAGGGTTTGGCACAGTGCATTATGCCTGTAATCCCAGCACTTTGGGAGGCTGAGGCAGAAGGATTGTTTGAGCCCAGGAGTTTGAGAACAGCCTGGGCAGCATAGGAAGACCCTGTCTCTACAAAAAAAAAAAAAATTAGCTGGGCATGGTGGCGTGCACCTAGGGTCCAACTACTTGGGAGGCTGAGGTGGAGGGATCACTTGAGCCTGGGAGGTCAAGGCTGCAGTAAGCCCTGATGGCGTCACTGCACTCCAGCCTGGGCGACAGAATGAGACCCTGTTTCTAAAAAATAAAATAATTAGAGAATATAACTTCCCTTTACAGTTCACTGTGGGAGATGAATTCCAGACAGGCTCACCTGAATGTCTTATTAAACTGCAGATTCTGACTCAGTAGGTATGGATGGAGGCCTGAGAGAATACACTTCTCATAAGCTTTCTGGTGATGCCGATGCTGCTGTCTACAGACCACACTTTGAATAGCAAGGCTAGGAAACGTGTTTTTCCCATTCTGTCTATGAGTGTAATGGTTGTATAATAAACTGCAAATATTAAAGTTTACATATTGATGAGTTTTGGCACCAGCCCATATAACTGTATAAGCCATTACCATAGGATAACATGTAACATAAGAGGTTAATAATACATAACATAACCATAACATATACATAAGATTACAATTTTTCACTTCTGATGGTTGAGCATTTTTTTAAGTCTTCTAATTTTTTACTCAAAAAACCTCATTTTTTGTTTAGCTATCTGACCCTGTGCTTGAGCCTTCAACACTCTCACAATGATTTTCTTTCCTCGATAAGGAAAACGTGGCCTTTGATCTGGCGTCGACGGAACACATATTAAAACATATGGAACCACCATAGCGGCCCTGCTGACAGTTCAACCTTGTTCTCTCCACTACCCAAGTACTTCTTGTGTCAGGCAACATAGACTCCTTCCCACTCTGGCCTTGCATTTTGTGACATGGTGCTGGCTAAATGACATAATGGCAGTGAGCGTAATATTTCCGAAAAAGCATCTAACTGTTTGTAATTCCTCCGCCAAGTGCTTTTTCAATAGATCTTTGTATAATGCCACTTGTCACAATTAGAATACTAACTACATAAACAGTTCAGTGCAAGACTACCTGTTTTTCTTTTTTTCTTTTTTTTTTTTTGAGATAAGTCCGTCGCTCAGTAGTCCAGGCTGGGTTGCCAGTGGGGAGTCTCAGCTCACTGCAAGCTCTGCCCTCCCGGATTCCATGCGCATTCTCTACCCCAGGCTCCGAGTAGGCTGGGTACAGTTGGTGTCCCGGCCACCCTGGCCGGCTTTAATTTGTTATTTATTTTAGTAGATAGTGATAATATTGGTGGGTGTTCACCTGTTTATATCGGGATTGGTTCGGTTTTTTTTGCGGTTTTTTCTGATCTCTCTTTTTTTTTGACCTCTAGTATTTTTTTTCCACCCACCTCAGCTTCTTTTCCTTCCATATAGTGCTGTGGATTTACTTAGGCATGAGCCACCTGTGCATTTCTGGCCACTACCCTGTTTTCTTTATCCGTCTTTTATGTGAGGAGGCACACAGGTGATTGATCAAAACAATTGTGCTATTTTTGAAACCTTTCAAATATCTGTTCCCATGTCTGTTCTTTTATAAAAGAGGAGTATACTTTTGGTTTTCTGCCTAATGGTGGTCGTGTAGCGCCGTTCTCGTTATTTTCTTTATTCTGGAGTGGGTGCGTTGCTGTTCATTTAGAAAAAAAAAAAAAAAAGAAAGGATGTTTTTTTGAGATGGAATCGTCCACTCTGTCACCAGGCTGGAGTTGCCAGTGGCGCAATCTTGGTCACTGCAACCTCCACCTCCAGGGTTCAAGCCAATCTCTCTGTGATCAGCCATCCCTGCAGTTAGCTGGGATTACAGGAATGCACACCATGCCAGCTAATTTTGTATTCTTTTAGTAGAGATGGGGTTTCACCAGGATTGCCCAGCTTGTGCCGCCGCTCGCTCCGCGGCCCTACTCCCCGTGCGGCCGCTCCCCCTCATTCGACCCTGATCTCAGGTGAATCTGCCTGCCTTGGCCTCCCAAAGTGCTGGGATTCCAGGCATGAGCCACCGCACCCGGCCAAAAAAAAGGATGCTTTCCAATCCGCCAACTTTGCTGTGTGAATTTCTTAAGCTCCATTCCATTCAATAATTTTCCAGATGAAGTGTTTACCATTTCTGAAATGTTTTCTGAAATTTAGACTTTCCATTTGTTCTCTCCACATATTTTCATCTTTTCTGTAAATATCATGGATCACTAGATAGGGACTGAGTTCAACTTTTTGTTTCCTCCTTTTTCTGGTGAACTAATAATCAGTACTCGGTAAAGTTTTGCAGTTAGTCTTATTTAGTAATGCAGTACACTTTAGTAGTGAAAATTATTTTGTACTCCTGACTGCAAGCACTTAGAGAGAAAGGACTTTTGCTCTCTTCTACAGTCCCTAGCACAGGATAGGAAACATAGTAGGCACTCAGAATGTTTTATTGAGTGAATGAATGAAGGTGTAATTACACTATTACATACAATATCAGTTCAGCTCAACATACGTGTAAGGAGTGCCTTGTATACCAAGTATTTTGTTTCATTTTATTTTATTTTATTTTTTTATTTTTTTGAGACGGAATCTTGCTCTGTTGTCCAGGCTGGAGTGCAGTGGCATGATCTTGGCTCACCACAACCTCCGCCTCCCAGGTTCAAGCGATTCTCCTGCCTCAGCCTCTTGAGTAGCTGGGACTATAGGTGTGCACCACCATGCTCAGCTAATTTTTGTATTTTTAGTAGATACGGGGTTTCACTATCTTGGCCAGGCTGGTCTCGAACTCCTGACCTTGTGATCTGCCCACCTTGGCCTCCCAAAGGGATTACAGGTATGAGCCATCATGCCTGGCTGTATACCAGGTATTTTAGAATATAAAGGTGAGCGCTGTGGTGTCTACACCCAAGGTGTTTATGGTCCAGTAGGTGAGACTGTGGCAGAAGCACCAAATTAGGGCCAGGCTTCCAGTGCTGGAATTTTACTTACTAACTCAAACTCGTGACCTTGAGCCAGTTACTTTACTTCTGTTTCCTCCTTTATAAAATGGAAATAATAATACTATCCCCCTCTTAGGCTGTTGAGAGGACTGAATCTATGAATACTGTACGTGTAAAGCAGATAGAAAAGGACCTGTTTGAGGCTAGGCACAGTGGCTCACACCTATAAACCCAGCACTTTGGGAGGCCAAGGTGGGAGGATCACTTGAGGCCAGGAGTTCGAGACCAGCATGGGCAACACAGCAAGACTCTGTCTTTTCAAAAAATTTTAAAAATTAGCCAGATGTGGTGGTGCACACCTGTAGTCCTAGCTACTCAGGAGGCTGAGGTAAGTGGATATTTGAGGTTATAGTGAACTATGATCGTGCCACTATACTCCAGCCTGGGCAACATAGCAAAAAGGACTACCCTGACACATACTGAGCCTTTAGTAAATTTTGTCCACTATTCTATACAATGTTCCCTTACAATGTAAAAGAGAGTTTGCACACTTGGAGCTCCCAAGATAAACCCTACCCACTAGTATCTTTTATTTGGCTTGGAAGAATTAGCCTGTATAATGCTTTAAATTTGAATTGGTTGCTAGAATTTTAAAATCTGGAATTTAATGTAAAAATCCAGATTTATGACTTACCTTAAAAAACTAAGAAATCTGGCAACTGTGGGCCTGACATTGGTGCTTGACAACAGTGAGGTGGAGTTGTGTAGAGAACGCCTTCTTCAGGAGAGACATGTGCGCTGAAGTTCTCAATAGTCCCCCAGCCCATAGTGACAGACACTGTCCATGCTATCTATCATGGACCTATATTTGGTTTTATATAAAATGACAAAAATCAGTTTATCAGCTGGGCACAGTGGCTCACACCTATAATCCCAGCACTTTGGGAGGCCAAGGCAGGCAGATCACCTGAGGTCAGGAGTTCGAGACCAGCCTGGCCAACATGGCGAAACCCCGTCTCTACTGAAAATACAAAAATTAGCCAGGCGTGGTGGTGTGTGCCTGTAGTCCCAGCTACTCAGGATGCTGAGGCAGGAGAATCACTTGAACGTGGGAGGCGGAGGTTGGAGTGAGCCAAGATCGCGCCACTGCATTCCAACCTGGGCGACAAGAACAAAACTCTGTCTCAAAAAAAAAAATTGGTTTATCATCCTATACAGCTCTCTATCGATTTATATTGTTACTTGCCTGACTACTGTCTTAGTCTGCTGGAATTGCTATAACAAAATACCATTTACTGGGTAGCTTAAAAACAACAGAAATGTATTGCTCACCATTGAAGAGGCTGAGAAGTCCCAGATCAAGGCTCCAGCAGATTCAGTGTCTGGTGAAGTCCTGCTTCCTAGTTTATAGATGGCCATCCTCTGGCTGAGTCCTCACATAGTAGAAGGGACAAAGGAGCTCTCTGGGGTCTCTTTTATTTTGGAGACAGGGTCTCATTCTGTCACCCAGGCTGGAGTGCAGTGGCATGATCTCACTCAGGTGAGATCCCAGGCTCAGGTGATCCTCCCACCTCAACCTCCCAAATAGCTGAGACTACAGACACACTCCACCACACCTGGCTATTTTTTGCATTTTTTTTGTAAAGATGGGGTTTCTCAAGCTCATCTTGAACTCCTAAACTCAAGTGATCCACCTGCCTCAGCCTCCCAAAGTATTGGGATTACAGTTGTGAGCCACCATACATGGCCTGGGGTCTCTTTTATTTTATTTATTTTATTTTATTTTTTTCTTACCTGGGGTCTCTTTTATAAGGGCTCTAATCACATTCATGAGGGCTCTCCCCTCATGACCTAATAACCTCCCAAGGGCCCCACCTCCTATACCAACACACTGGAGATTAGGTTTCAACATACACATTTTAGGAAGAGATAAACATTCTGTCTACAGCACACTGTAGGCATTCGTGACTCCCTAAGATAGAAGAAAGAGGAATGCACACTGTCTGGAAGGTTTGCAGATGGCTTCCACAGAGGATAGAATTATTTGATTGGTCCCCGTGCTCCTTTACATCTGAAGGATGTGGAAACAATCGGATAGGCAGAAGGAATACCATCTGCTAATGCCCTGAGGTCTAAGAGAGCCTGGCATGTTTAGTTACCCCTGGCTGGAGCATTTACTGCAAGGGCGGAGAGACAGGAGATGAGCCTGGGGAGGCCGGCAGGGGCCAGGTATGCAGGGCCTAGAAAGATTGGCCCGCAGTGGTCCTGTAGGTGGTGGGGAGCCAGTGAAGGATTTTATGCAAGGGAATGTCATGAAGGAGAGGCTGGTAGCAGGGAACTCAGAATGGAGGCTCCCGTTACAGTCCAGGTGAAGATAATGAGATCCAGAAGAGGAGCAGGGTAGGGAGATGACAAGAAAGAGGAGATCAGCAGCTCTGTCAGTAGAGCCAGCAGAGCCATCCAGAGTAGGTGAGGGAATGGGAGTCCCTTACATTTAACTGTGGCAATCTGAGACCCACTTTTTGGACCTCTGTGTCTTTATCTGTAAATTGTAGAAACTGTTTCTGCCCTGGTTTCATCACATGATATTGATAGGTCTGAGTTAATTTATCTCTGTGAAAATTCTCTAGAAACTTTAAAATATGATAAATAGATAAGATATGGTTTTTATAGTTGCTATCATTATTTCTCTCTGGTCTTCATGTCCAAAACGCTTTTTTTTTTTTTTTTTTTTTTTTTTTTGAGACAAGGTCTCACTCTGTTGCCCAGGCTGGAGTACAGTGGTGTAATCACAGCTCATTGCAGCCTTGACCTCCTTGGGCTCAGGTGATTCCCCCACCTCAGCCTCCCAGGTACCTGGGATCACAGGCACACATGCCTGGCTAAATTTTTTTGTATTTTTTGTAGAGACAGGATTTTGCTGTGTCACCCAGGCTGGGCTCGAATTCCTGGGCTCAAGCAATCCACCCACTTCGTTCTCCCAAAGTGCTGGGATTACAGACATGAGCCACTGTGCACAGCCCCAAAACACTCTTAAGGACCACCGTCCATTATGAAATTATACATATTTTTTTTAGATCCAAAAGTAAAGATGATTCTAACAACAAAAAAAATCAAATACTGGTGGGCAGATCACTTGAGGTCAGGAGTTTGAGACCAGCCTGGCCAACATGGCGAAACCCCGTCACTACTAAAAATACAAAAATTAGCCTGTCATGGTGGTGCATGCTTGAAGTCCCAGCTACTTGGGTGGCTGAGGCAGGAGAATTGCTTGAACCCGGGAGGCAGAGGTTGCAATGAACTGAAATCACGCCACTGCACTCCAGCCTGGGCGACAGAGCAAGGCTCCGTCTCAAAAAAAAAAAAAAAAAAGAAAAATCAAATACTTACAGCAATTTGTTTTTTAAAAAACAAGTATCTGGCCGGGCACGGTGGCTCACGCCTGTAATCCCAACACTTTGGGAGGCTGAGGCTGGCGGATCACCTGAGATCAGGGGTTCGAGACCAGCCTGGGCAACATGGTGAAACCCCATCTCTACTAAAAATACAAAAATTAGCCGGGAGTGATGGCGGACGCCTGTAGTCCCAGCTACTCAGGAGGCTGAGGCAGGAGAATCGCTTGAACCCAGGAGGCGGAGGTTGTAGTGAGCCGAGATCGGGCCACTGCACTCCAGCCTGGGAGACAGAGCGAGACTCAAAAAAAAAAAAAAAACCAAGTCTCCCATAATCCCATAACATTGACAATGTTGGGAACGTTCTTCCACTTGTCTTGCAAACTAACATTCATATAGTAATAATAATGATAATTAATATGAAAAAATATCCTCCAATTACAGCAAGAAGATGTGAAAGTTTGGGAAAGGACACCTCTGATTCCGAGATCAAAAGATGCTGAGAGACCGAGGCTTAAGCTTCAGGGCCCTTCGGCCCCACCTGCTGGCCGGAGACGGTAGCGCTGCCCCAGCCGCTCAGTGCTTGTGGGGCTGCCAGTCCCGTTTCCACCTCCTGTCAGAGAGATGGGATGGGGCTGGCGGGGAAGAGGAGGCCGCTGAGGCCCCACCTGGGAGCTGCAGAGCTGGGGTAAACCTGGGGCTCTGGGCAGGTCTGCCCCAGGCAGTATACTGTGGAGAATGAAACTTTTCTAAATGATCAATAAAAAAGCCAAGGTGCAGTCAGCCGTGCTGGAGGAAAGACTGAATTATCTTTCTATTCTCTCTATAGACAAATTATGAACTTTTATGGAGACCAAAGAGTATGCAGTCAAAAAACGTAGGAAGAAAAATGAGTACAGAGCTGTGTCACGAAGTTAAATAATACTAGCAACAATAGGCCGGGCGCGGTGGCTCAAGCCTGTAATCCCAGCACTTTGGGAGGCCGAGACGGGCGGATCACGAGGTCAGGAGATCGAGACCATCCTGGCTAACACGGTGAAACCCCGTCTCTACTAAAAAAATACAAAAAACTAGCCAGGCGCGGTGGCGGGCGCCTGTAGTCCCAGCTACTCGGGAGGCTGAGGCAGGAGAATGGCGTGAACCCGGGAGGCGGAGCTTGCAGTGAGCTGAGATCCGGCCACTGCACTCCAGCCTGGGCGGCAGAGCGAGACTCCGTCTCAAAAAAAAAAAAAAAAAAAAAAAAAAAAAAATACTAGCAACAATAATATAACAGGCCAGTTGTGGTGGGTCACACCTGTAATCCCAGCGCTTTGGGAGGCCAAAGCGGGCAGATCACTTGAGGTCAGGAGTTCGAGACCAGCCTGGGCAACACGGTGAAACCCCACCTCTACTAAAAATACAAAATTAGCTAGCTGGGGTGGCATACACCTGTAATCGCAGCTACTCAGGAGGCTGAGGCAGGAGACTGCAGTGAGCCAAGATCGTGCCACTGCACTGCAGCCTGGGCAACAGAGTGAGACTCCATCTCAAAAAAGAAAATAAAATTGGCAAGTGCACACCAACAGGAAGAGTGGGAACTGGGTCCCCATGTGCTGAAAGGATGATCAGGAAGGGGCTGTAATAATTGCTTAGTGCACTTTGCGAAGGCTTCCTGGAGAGGGTATTTTTGAGACTTAATTAAAACCAACAAACAAAAAGATGTGAGAGGTGCAGTAAAAGGATCTGGGAGAAGGAGGTTGAACCTAAGAATGAGATATGTCAAGGAATCCATGATGGCTATAGTTATCCCAATGACTCTCATGTAAACAGAAGCTGGTCTTCTTTTATATTCGGTTGTGCTCACAGACCTGGCCCAGTTCCTGGCACACAGGAGATGCCCATTCAGTGTTTGTTGAACAGGCTGGGCACGAGGGCTCACACCTGTAATCCCAGCACTTTGGGAGGCTGAGGCAGGTGGATCATTTAAGGTCAGGAGTTTGAGACCACCTTGGCCAACATGTCAAAACCCCATCTCTACTAAAAAAAAATTACAAAAATTAGCCAGGCATGATGGCATGCGCCTGTAATCCCAGCTACTAGGGAGGCTGAGGCAGGAGAATCCACTTGAACCCAGGAAGTGGAGGTTGCAGTGGGCTGAGATCATGCTACTGCACTCCAGCCTGGGCAACAGAGCAAGACTCCATCTCTTAAAAAAAAAAAAAAAAGTTTGCGGAATTACTGAAACAGTATGCAGAATTCCTGGCTTAGCAACACCAGGAAGTTATAGGAAACTGATGTCATCTCAATAGCTTTCTAATTATTAGAACTGACCATTAAAGAGTGCCCGTAATAGCTACCAAACACCTCAAAAGTGCCAGGAACTAGGCTAAACTCTTCATATACATTGTCTCATGTTAGCTTACAATAGCTGTTGAAGAATCATTGTCCCTACTTATTTATTTTGAGATGGAGTCTTGCTCTGTCACCCAGGCTGGAGTGCAGTGGCGTAGTCTCGGCTCACTGCAACCTCCACCTCCCAGGTTCAAGCGATTCTCCTGCCTCAACCTCCCAAGTAGCTGGGATTACAGGTGTCTGCCACCACGCCTGGCTAATTTTTGTATTTTTTTAGTAGAGGTGAGGTTTCACTGGGTTGGCCAGGCTGGTCTCGAACTTCTGACCTCTCGTTATCTGCCTGCCTTGGCTTCCCAAAATGTTGGGATTACAGGCATGAGCCACCATGCCCAGTCTGTCCCCACTTAAAAATAAGGAAGTTCCAGGTTCAGTTCGATTAAAACATAAAATAAAAATTAGGAAACTAGGCATGGTGTCTCTCACACCTGTAATCTCAGCACTTGGAGTTCTGAGATGGATGATAGCTTGAGGCCAAGAGTTGGAGACCAGCTTTGGCAACATAGTGAAACCTTGTCTGTACCAAAAAAAAAAAAAGGAAACTAAATTACAGAGGTTAAGCAACGTGCATAGGGTGCATGTTATCTATTTACCTGTAGATAGACTTTCAGATTTCTTCAAATTCTGGGCTAATACAAATTAAACTGCTATGAACATGTAGGTACAAATTTTTGCATAGACATGATTTCATTCCTCTAGAACCTGACATGTGTCCTGATCCCATCCTGAAGGTCTAGCAGCGCCTCCAGCCCTGACTGGTCTTTGCCTCATGCATCTTGCTCACATGTGACATGAAATCCATCATTTTCCCTCCATAGATCTGATCAAGAGCATTCCTCAAGGGTATATCCTTGGAAGGCCAAGGTCCATATATAGCACACCTCCCAAACCCCCATCCCTCTCAGTGGGATCTCCCAGGATATTAATAATGGTTAGTTAATTTTTTTCTTTTTTTTATCTTTTCTTCTTCTTCTTTCTTCTTCTCCTCCTCCTCTTTCTCCTTCTTCTTCTTCCTCTTCACTTTCCTCTTTTTCTTTCCTCTTTTCTTTTCTTTCCTCCTCCTCCTCCTCCTCCTTCTCTTCTTCTTCTTCTTCTTTTTCGACAGGGTCTTGCTTTGTTGTTCAGACTGGAGTGCAGTGGCACTGTCACAGCTTACTGCAGCCCCCATCTCCTGGGTTCAAGTCATCTTCCTGCCTCAGCTTCCCAAGAAGCTGAGACCACAGGCATGTGCCACCATACTCAGAAAAATTTTAAATTTTTTTTGTAGTGGTGGGGTCTCCCTATGTTGCCCAGACTGGTCTCCAACTTCTGGGCTCAAGCGATCCTCCCGCTTTGGCCTCCCAAAATTAGTTAATGTATTTCACATACACTATGCCCTACACACTTTATCTATTTGGTCTTATTTCTCAAATTTTTCTTGAAGTAGATGTTTATGGGTGAGGAAACAAAGGATCAGGGAGATGTATTATAAAAGAACATTACTCAACAGAGAGGTGAGAGAGGGCAGTGCTAAGCAGAGTAGAATCTAGAGCTGGTTTGCACAATTTTGGAGCCAGTTCTACACTATACTAGCTGTGTAATCTTGGGCATGTTGCATAACCACACTATGCCTCAGTTGCTACGTCTGCAAAGTGGAACAATAGTAATAGTACCTAAACAGAATGTTGTGTATGTTAACATGTATAACCACAGTTAGAATAGTAGCTGGCACAGTTAATTCTCTGTAAGTGTCAGCTATTTAATTATTGCTATTTTTATAAAACCCTCCCAGAGTCCTGAGTCAACAAGGGGATAAGAAAGATCCTGTCACCAGATGCCAGAACACAGGCAGAAATCCCAGCTCCCACTCCCCATCCAGGCTGCTGTAGTAAACCACTCAAGGGAACACTGCACAAGAAGGAAAAGGCATTCCTAGCTGCCAAAAAACTATTCAAGATAAAATCTAGGTGTTTTTCTTTTTTGCTGTAAAAGTACATGTTTGTTGTGGAAAAATTTTGTTAACACAGAATAATATAAAGAAAAAAATTTAGATAGAATTCTGCCACCAGAAAGCTTCTATTAACACAGGTTCTGTTAACACCATTATTTCCTAGTGGGGTGCTTTCTTGGCCTGGCCCAGCAGAGGTTGCTGTTTGAGAAACAAAGCCCTTCTCCCATCTCTTTGCTTGGGGTTGGCCAGGGGAAAGCAAGATTTAAATCCAGTGTCTTGGCGAGGAGTGCAGAGAGCTCTCAAAAGTGTGCACGGGATAGAGACACTGTCGAGTCCCCATCAATAAGGGACAAGTGACGTACATTATGGTACGTCCATTCAGTGGAGTATCTGTTAACAAGCATGCCGTAAAATGGAAAGATCTCAAAAATATATTACTGTGTTACAAAAGCAAGGTGCAGAGCCGTGTTTATAGTAGGGTTCTTTTTTCTTTTGTTTTCTTTCCTTTCCTTTTTCTTCTCTTTATTTTATTTTATTTTATTTTTGAGACAGAGTCTCTTTCTTTCTCTGTCTGTTGCCCAGCCTGGTATGCAGTGGTGCAACCACAGCTCACTGCAGCCTTGACCTCCCAGCCTCAAGCAATCCTTCTCCCTCAGCCTTTGGAGTAGCTGGGACCATAGGTGTGCGCCATTATGTCTGGCTAATTTTTAAATTTTTAGTAGAGACAAGGTCTCACCATGTTGCTCAGGTTGATCTCCAACTCCTGGTCTCAAGAGATCCTCCCTACTCAGCCTCCCAAAGTGCTGGGATTACAGACGTAAGACACCATGCCCAGCCATATAGTAGGGATCTTTTGGATTGAAATATTTATGTAGATTAAAAAATAAAATATATGGGATATATATGAGTGAGATTTAACCTTTCATTTCCTACTTTCTATACTGTTTGAATTTTCCAATCTTCCACATGCATTATTTTTTAAATGTCACTGAGAATTAACTGGGAAGGAAGATTATGGCTAATTTCAAAAGTATTTATATTGTGTACATACTTGTATTTTTTTTTTTTTTTTTTTTTGAGACAGAGTTTTGCTCTGTTGCCCTGGCTGGAGTGCAATGGTGCAGTCTTGGCTCACTGCAATATCCGCCTCCTGGGTTCAAGCGATTCTCCTGCCTCAGCCTCCCAGGTAGTGGGGACTATAGATGCCCACCATCATGCCCCACTAATTATTGTATTTTTAGTAGAGACGAGGTTTCACCATGTTGGCCAAGCTGGTCTTGAACTCCTGACCTCTGGTTATCCACCCGCCTCGGCCTTCCAATGTGCCGGGATTACAGGCATGGGCCACCGCACCCAGCCCATACTTTCATTTTTTAAAAATCATCTTTTTCTCAAAGCCTATTGTAGGATTTTTTTGAGCCACAGCACCTGTTGCTACCATAGCTGCTATGCCTCCTAGTGCCTGACACATAGTAAATATTGAGCAAACATTTGTTCAGTGGGTGAATAAATCTAATATAAAGGTCAGAAGCATTTCTTCTTAGCTTATTTCCCTTCAGAGAATATTTCCTGAATTAAATTTACTGCATCATCCCCTCAAGTGTTCCTACAATCCC